TAATGAGGAAAAAAAATTAACTTAAATGATTTTAGCAAATGGCTGCAATATAACAAAGAGTGAAAAATTTAAGGGGGTCCGAATACTTTCCGTACCCACTGTATATATTGAATATATGGCAGATCATGTTTTTCTTGCTAATTTTTTATCTGAAGTCTGGGTGCAAACTGTCTTTTACTCACCCATCATAAAGATTACAAGCTTTCACACATGTCCTTCCTCGGCTGAAGTATTTACAAGAGAGACACTGATCCGGACTGGGACCCCAGCATCCTGCCACTGAACACAGCGGATCACAAACCATCCTTAACTGAGCTGCGGAGGACATTCACAGAATTTACTTTACACTCATAAATGGGCATTATATGGGAACAAGTCATCATTTTAAAGGCCCCATGACATTCAAACTGAAGTTTTGTGACTTTTAAACCATCCGACTTTGAGGTCATCCATATGCTAGTGTACGGCTAAACATCTATATGTTTCTCCCTAAAATCCTGTTTCAATATGTCAGCATAGGAGAGAAAACCGCACTCAATAAAACCATTAAGTTTTTAAACAGATATTGCAGAGGTTAGATTTTGCTTTGTGAGTTAATTCAAGCATAATCAAATATTCATATACGAATTATACTGAATATACGAGTCCCAAATAAAAACTCTGTATTCTATTGACTGAACGAAAGTCCTTCATATAATCAACTGGGACCATCAACAGTAAATGTAAAGCAGTGGCTGTCAGGGATGTTGGACAGTCCAGGTATTTCTGTCTACTGTGATTGGTATAGTGTTGAAAAGAGACCAACGTATGAGCCAGATAACAGCGCCATTGATCCCACACACCACAGACTTATTATCACACTAATTACATCAGGCACAGCTTGGCAGTGCAACACTGTCGGAAGTGTTCTGCAACTGTCAACATCTCCATTACAGATAAATCTGTGCTCCATTTCATCAGTTCAGGGAATTCTTTTCGTACATAAGATATTGGCCTGTAAAATTATTGCCTTTATGTCCTATATGTGTCCCAAAGGTGAAGTGTATTGAAATTCAAGCACTGGCAGACCTAATAGACTGGTCCATTATTAATGGTCAAGTACTCTATGATGTTAACTGGGCTGACAGTTTTATAGATCATTTAGCCAATAACTGTGCAAATCGCACAAAACCTCATGTAGCCTCACATTTAATAGATAACAAAAGAATTATGGGGAAAAAAAATCACATTAAATAATTTTAAAGGCCCCATTAGAGAAAAGAAGCCTGCTTTTAGGACCATTTAGAGTTTACATTATTGTCATGACAATTATGCACATTTAGCCCTATACACACAAACCCATCTTTTGCTTGATAGTATTGGCTAGAACACTCACCACACTCTCTGGGGTCCCTGTTGTTCTTGATCAGAGCTCTCTGGGTGCTGGTGCGGAACAGACTGGTCCAGTTCACTGTGTTGTAGAAGCAGAGCTGGCTGTTGTTGGTCATGTAGACGTTACCGGCGCTGATCTCTCTCAAAGACTGGAACTTCAGCGAAGAGATCCAGCGCTGCTTCAGGATCAGCAGAGAAATACCACTGAGAAAACATGAAGATGATTAGGAAGTCAATAAAATGTTCCAAACCTATCGCTCTTTCATATCATTGGATTGTTTATCTGATAATATTGCAACAGACAGCTTTACTTCGATCCACTGTGATTTTGCAGTTTAAATCAAATGTATGAAAAGCCATATGTATGATAATGTTGAAGTCAGTTTCACTGACGTTGGCCATGAAATAATGATCATGCAAAAAATGCTTTACTGATCAGCTCATAAATCAGATGTGCCTGACAGAAAGTAATCTTACCTATAAAGTGTTCTTCCTCCTATGGTGACAAGGTTGGAAAAGACACCAAGGTCAGTCATGTTCTCTGGCCAAGACTGGATGTTCAAGTAACCTTTGGATGGAATTTCCAAACAAGTAACAAACCTATAATTTAACAGTTAATGTCTTGATATGGCAGTAAAAAACAAAAGAAAGATAAAGCAAAAGTAGCCAACAACTTGCAAAAGTAATAAAGAAATGTAGAAATGTAATATCCCACCACAATAGCTATATTTCCATCACCCTATTTTAATGCGCAGTTTGAAGTATCGCACGAGAAACGAGTGATGGAAATGCCAAATTTCGAATAAAAATCCTTTAATTCGCAAAAAAAGTTTTTACGCTCTCTTGACGTGGTTTTTGACTTGTGCGAAAAAGGGTTGATGCGATTATTGGGAGATGGAAATGCATTTTGCCAATAAATTCCTCCAAGCGCATCAAAAAAGTCATGTGACTTTGCGCTATGGGACAGCAAAACCTGACTAACCAGCGGATCGATCTCATTCCACAGCATCTGAAATGTTGTTATGGTCATTCGGAAATGCACGAGCAAAGTCTGTCATCAAAGTATTTCTGTATAATTGCCTCCCGTAAATGTCTTACACGACTGCGTTCCCAAACAGCAGCATCCACCTCCGAAAGCAATGACCGCATTCATTGTTTCGTCTGCTCGCTCTGAGGCACAAGTAATTTATTACATATGAAAATTAATATACTCTCCTACTTCTCTTAGTGATTTATAGTGCCAGTTTATCCAGGAGTGACGATTTTGTTCTCTTTGACTTGTTGGATGGAAACGATGCTTGTTCGCAAATGTTTTATGCGATATTCCAGTTTTGCTGGAGTTAAATTCACAACTTTGGATGGAAACCCGGCTAATGTTTCAGTATTAGGGGTGATTTCCATGGTTGCACATGCTCTTATGATCAATACATTTGTGCATCAGAATCTGAGGTGCGTTTATATGGTTGGCATGGGAACTGCGCTCACGACAACAGTCATAGGTCGTTCTTATTGTGCAGAGTTTCATTACGTTTCACTCCATTAACTGCAATATAATATCTGGCTGTGGCACATGCCAGATTTTAATTAAACAAAACCTTTTAACATGACTAACTGTTCAGTTGTTCTAACCTATTACACTCAACAAATAAATACTGTAACAAATCCCATTAGGTGTAAAAATAAGGATCCATGTACTGTGAAAGTGACAGAAATACAAACTGTAAGCTTGACATCACATGTGTTTTTTTATTTGCATATAGCTTTACCAAATATCTTAAGATTAATGACAACTCTCTCTTTACCTGTGATCTCTCTGATGTTCCGGAACACATTTAATCGCTCAGGATCCAAAGCACCGATACCATGATACATGTCTCTGTTAAACAAAGCAAAACAGTTAATGAGTGTAAGGAGTGCAAAGAGTGCATTTGTATACAAATTACACACCGTGCAAATTAAAAATGAACATTTTCTACTATATCTTATACAATTAAAAATGATTTTGTTTGCATAAACTTATATAGTCAGGTTGATTCAGTCATATTAATTCTTTTTATTTACTTAGAAACTCAAAAAGGATCATTATTAATAATGAAAAATTTGAATTTGAAGTATTTTAATAAATATTTTTTACATAGAATCATTAAAAACAGGATTTTTTATGAGCACTGTAATATAAGAAAGACAAATATCACCAGGCAAATATTTTTTTAAATACAGAAAAAAAGTTATTCGATGACATGTAACCCTGAAAACCCCTGTTCCTGAGGATATTTTGCTCAATAAACAGGTTTTGATAGAGTAATAACGTCCTGGGAACAACAAGGTCGATCTTATCAGGATTTAAACTGACTTTTCATCAAGGTCGTAGACTGTAGTATGACTACAGAATTTTTCTTCTGTCAACATGCAGACTAACACATAAGCTTTATGTACATCAAAAACACCTCACTGCAGTGCTTGCTGCATGCTGGGAGAAGTTGACATGCACTTATAGCAGCTTTTGAGGGCACATAGCTGTTCAAAGAGAAAAACAAATGCCACTGGGAATATCTGACACTGTCAGACTGAAAGACTGAAACATTACCCACCCTTTGATGCCTGTGATGAGGAAGATGAGGTTGCCGTTGATCTTGGTGCAATTGACAAACATCTCAATGTTGCTGGAATCTACAGTTTGAGCTGTTTGAAGACTGCCGGTGCCTATACCGTCACACACTGAACACCACATACAAAAACAGACATGAACATATAGTAATGTAAAGGTTATTTGCTGTTTTGAAAATAAACAAGGTAAGTATGGTAAATTTGCTATTCTTTACTTTTCGGACAGATGTCAGTGCACGGGATGCACATCTTGATGTGATTTTCCTCCACTTCCATCTTGTTGCTCGGACAGGCTCTGACACAAGAGCTGTGATCCACCACAAAGTTATCTATGTCAAAGAATGACAGAGCGTACTTGTGAAAGGTGTTTTTTTTTTAATGATAAAGGGACAATTAACCCCAAAAATTCTGTCAACATGTAGTCACCCTCAAAATGGATAAATGTTTAAAAATATAAAAATATTATACCTTTAAATGACAAAGCATTATGAAGATTTTATTTGCTTCTTTATTTATTCTTTCTTTCTTTCTTTCTTTCTTTCTTTCAGTGTAATATGTTGTGTATTAAAGGTTGGGTAGGCAATTTTTTTCTTCTCGACAGGAAAGCTAAACTTTAAGTTAAAAGTTTTACTAATATGTTTGACCTTTTATTGAAAATACCTTACTTTTACCCATTCAGACACAGACCTGTAAGAGCTCTGCTTGTAATGTTTGTGTCGGGAAAGGCGTGATGCGCATTGTTTGAAAACATGCTTTATTTTTGTAGTTCCGCTAGATGACATTAGTAGTGCAGAAATTGTATACACTACCTTACATGGTACCTATCAAGTGTGCCTCACATGTTCTGAAAAGTGAAGCCAAAACATTTTGATCACCATCTGGTGGCTGCTACAGTATAGGTCATAAACCCCGCCCTCTCCATGTAAACAAATGGGATGTGAGCCAAAATAAATAATCAAATTACACTTCAAATAAATTTTCAGGTAGTTAAATCAAAATAAATAATTTCAGGTAGTTCCTATCACGCTGATGTCAGTTAAAGTGTTCGTTTTTCTAACAATTTTGCTTTTAGCTAGTTATTTAATTCTATAATAACAGGTGTGGTGTCATGATTGTGTGCTTGCAATTGGGTCTGCTGGAGTTTGGGCGGTGTGACGAGAGGGGCGGGGCCGAGAGCCGTGGGAACGGAGCGTGACGACAGTGTTGGAGGAGAGAAGTCCAGGCCTGGACTTCGTGCATTAGCATTTACTCCACCGGCCTCGCTCCGTTCCCATGGCTCTCGGCCCCACCCCTCTCGTCACAGGCGGGACTTTGATATTGTGGCTCCAGATCATGATCAAAACTACACAGACTCAGCCTCCAAATGACGTCACTGGTGCAAGATAACAGCGGCCATACTGGAATGTTTTGGCTTCACTTTTCTGTAGTGAAAGGAAGTGGAGATGCATTGTCCATCTTTTTTACAGTCTTTGGTACCTATAGACCTTAGTTAGGGTAGCATCATATTTAATTTTTGACAGGAATGAAAATGAGGCTGTGAGAGATTGTACTGTTGTTTAAAAACATACCGATTGTTCAGCTGAAGAAACGTTTTTTTTTTTTTCTGATAAAACATTTAGGAGACAAAAACTCCATTAAACACCGATTTAAAACTCCGTTTTAAAAATTGTGAGTTGGTGAAAATTATGCCACGTAGGACTTTTATTCAGTGCATGCTATTGTAAAGACTGTAAGTCTATCACTCACAGTCTCGTTTTCATCAGTGTTAAAATTCATATGGCATCTAACCTGACTAATGTCTATCAGACCACCCTGCATCATATTTGCTTAATGAAATCCAATAATTGTTTCTTACTAATTTTGGGGTGATTCCAAAAATAGTGACTGTTTTGTTCTAGCATGTCACACTTTTTCACAAAATATGTGCATTTCAAAGCATTTTTTGCTTTTGACAACTATTTGTAAGGTGAAGAAGTCTTGTATTATCCCTTAATCACCAGAAGAATACTGCCACAGAGACATGATTCCCATCTTCCTCTGAGTCAGCTATTGTTACAAGAATGCTGAAGCAATGTACAGTATGAGAAAAATTTTATTTTTTTTTTTTCTTTAAATTATCTAAATGTATTCTAGCAGACTCTACAAATTATGAACTTGAGTAAATGAGTAAATGAGTACAATATGGTCATTTTGATATGACTTCGCTATAAACTTTCTTTTAGGCAAACAGCTTTAAGCTTAATAAGAAATAACTTCTGGCATTAATGTCATTAATTATATCTAGCAACAAAAATAAGAGATATTCTAATTGAATCACACACACACACACACACACACACACACATACATATATACTGTATATGTACATACACATTTATAAATTCAATATATATATTATTTCATTTCCA